CGATCGGTGAGCGCCCCCTAACATCATAAATATTTATGTATATATAGGTATTTGATTTTGGTAGCAAAGGAAGACTCAAACCAGAAAATGCAAATGGATGTAAGAAAAAACTGCCATTAAAGCACAAAGTATATATCATAAAGAAAATATAAAACGGTTGAATCCTTGGGCCGAATTGAGTGAACAACTTGTTAAGTACAGATAGCAAATTTAAAATTAATTCGTTGGATATCGAAAATTTTCAATAAATCCATTGTTTTATCCAGCTGGCCAACGTTTGGAATTTTCCACGCCTTCTTCGTAAGTGCTTCCACATTCGGCCCTGTTGACATTCCCCTTCCCCTATTTGCAACCCTCTTTAGAGCGTGATTGGCGTTCTTTTAATAAACTAGTTTTTTTGTATTCCGGCCTTGAACTAGGAATTCGATTTGCTCGAACAGTAGCAATAAAATTTCATTGTCTAGGGTATCCATTGTTGAGGTGTGAACGTTTTTTATCATTATTCTATTCTATCGATAACTTCTCGTCAGGCCAGTACATGCATATGAGAAGGACATCGATTAAAAATTCCCGTGAGTAGAGAAATTGATTAACGTTCGTCTTAAAACACAGGCGGGGTGTCCGTATTTGGGGTAGGGGGGGGGGTAATGAAAGTCAATCCTAGGGGTGGGATGAGAATGGAAAGGCGCAGAGAGTTGCAGGTAGTTAGTTTACTTTGGACATGGTAAGCGCGGAGCCTAAACGAGGTTCTTCTGCGCACACAAGACCACCTTTCGTAACCTTATAGCGGCCGCTTATGCTGTTGCTAGCAAACGCTGGTACAGTAGCTTAGGTTTGCTCGATAGGACCTTATATATCCAACGAAAAGCTTCGTTAGGGTCCACCCTATGTCCGGAATCAGCGATATATGTGAGAATGGCGCCGATTATACTCCTAGTTTCGCTTTCTACCAGCTAGGCGTGGAGGTGCTCTCGTATTCTCTTGGATAGGCGCCGACGCGTGTGACCAATATAACTTGCTCCACAGGAGCAAGTGAATGAGTAGATGCACATTGAGGCGGTCTGAGCTGGCAGCCTATCCTTGCCTTCACTGCGTAAAATAGGGTTAGTGGAGAATAATACTAGAACACTTGTTGCTGGGAAGGTTCGTAAGACAACTTTATCAGGGCGTCTTCTTAGGAGTTCACTCGTCGAGTCACCTTGTAAAGGAACTTTGACGAACAGATTTCTCTTCTTGACAATCAGTGTGGTGGGTTTTTCCGATCGTCCGGTAATCACCTTTGCAATAAACCTGTCAGGATACCTGTTTTCGCGAAACAAGTCTTGGATCTTTCTAAGCTCCTTGTTGATACTGCCTTCCGAAAAACATTTCTGGTCCTTTGCACCAAACACCGGAGTAAATTTCGTTTTTGTTGGAATGGGAACGAAACTGCCGAAATTCCAGCATTGTCCTGAACAGGTTTTCTTCCGACATACGCTCCTTCGGTTCCCGTTTCCATATAAATGTACTGCACTGACAAGAGTTTATCGAAAGCCAACCCAATGCTCGTCAACTAATCTTCTGAATCAAATATTCACAATCTGCCAATAGGGAATTAGTAATATATAAATATCGATTGACTCACAATACTTCCAGCATGGAAATAAGTTAAATATCCTGATAAATAACTGCTGTATATGCTAGAAAACACAGAGTGAACGTTGGGAGACACTGTGATGACGAGGATTCCTCTCGCTTGTGAAATGCAATGGCACAAAATAGCCGAAACATGTGTCGGGTCGTGAGCTACTGCCAGTAAAGGTGGAAATGACGATTCGACCAAAATTCATCTGACAAATATTTTACATGAGAAGGTTCATTAGGAACCGTAGCCCAAATGCAGGCCGCATCTACTGAGAAAAGTTGCGCAGAAATCTAAGCTCTGCATAGAATACATAGGAAAGATAACTCCCTCCACAAAATGCATACATTGCTTGTTGCTGCTAAACCCGGCATAAAACTAATGAGGAATATCTAAACATTCCAGCCGTCTGGCATCTTTATTTGCGGTCTTCTGGATCTTTAAAAAAGTAAATCTCATCAATCAACGCATTGGGCAAACACTGAAAATTACGACCAATCCGCCCTTTGACGAATGAATCCAGGTCTCTTAAAGTATGCCAATTAAATTCCTTTTCGAGTATGAATAAGATAGTATATAAATTATCACACTTTCCCTCAAGCGATGTCTCTTAAATACAAAGCTTAAAATAACGACCAATTTTCTCCGAAGTCTCTTCAGATTTTCAATTCACTCTATTCCGTTGCTCAGTCTTTCTAAGAAATATCAAGAATTTAGACTTTTTAAAGACCTCTACCCGGTCTTTATAAGCAGGCTTACAGCCGGTGATTCCGATGTTGCGTAGCTGAATACAGTACTAAGAGCAACCTGTACAAACCACACTTCAAAACTCAAAAGGGTGGGGCGACATGATGGATGACGCACCTTTGTCTCACCGGCAACGCGGTGCAACCCGCGCGATAATCAGTTGCTCTGCGTCAACTCAATTATGGCGGCCCCCATTTATCTCCAGGCCGATAGCGGAGAAGGGGCGGGTGAAGGTGTGGTCAATGCAGCTCAGCGCCAGCATTCTTTTTTTCCATACCATAAGCAGTGGAACATTTTTTTTCGACTAAGACATCACGTCAGTAGTGGTGGTTAGGAGTGTTGAGACAACTGATGGAAAGTGCATCCAGCGCCGGGAGGGCAGACTCCCAAGTGTGAGGCAGGGAATGCGTCAAAGCATCTTAAGCCCGAGGCACGTTTGACCCGGCCTTGAATCTGATTAGACAGGTGTAAAGCCGATTGGGCGGACGCCAGACAACACTGGTGGGAGTCATGACGTCGCGACAGACGCGTGGAGTAGGGCCACTAGAAGTGCTTCCTTCCCAGACCGAAGTTTGGGTGAAAAAGCCACACGAAGGAAGCACAGTTAGACTGAGTGAATGCGAAACGTACTGACGGTATTGTTATCGGCAGAGTGTGAGGCTGCGACTGGTGGGAAGGGGCCAAGTTAACGGGGTCAGTTGCAGAAAGCCGGTGGTGGGGTCGTTGAGTTGAACGTCGACGGCAAATCCGTATGCAGTGTCGGTTTTGTGCGGTTACACGAAGAGATGCTGCTGGTAGTGGAGGAAGGTAGATAGTGGGTAATGAAAAGGACGTCTGGGATCTGGCACTGATTGCGGGACAGCTCCGTTGGATGGGATCAGAACCGTGGCCTGGATTCGATGAGTTGAGGTTGTTTGATGGCTTCCGGCTCACCTCAAGACGGGATGCCGGTAACTGAATTCTCCGTACCGTGGTTACATCAAATGACGCTGGAAAACTGAGTTGAAGCATAGAGAGAAATTCATGATGATTGTGCAGCTGCATGTTCGCATAACGTCAAATTCATCAATAACCCAAAAGCTCTAGACGTTAGTGACCCTGGCCACCATGATCTTCAATAACGCCAGCCCTAACCCTAAGAAGTCGGCACCTCTGCCCACTTAAGGAGGGACTGATTGTGATCTGGTGTCATTAGTTTATTTTCTTGGACTCCAGACCTCGTGAAAGAAACCAAAATAATAGATTGGAAGTCACTGAGGAGAGTCATGTCATTCATAAAACAAAACAATAAGTTAGTGGCAAACTTTGCAGGGCTGTCTACTCAGGGGTCAAACCAAAGCATTGGCTGGTCACCTGAGTAGGCTATTGGTGTCGCAGTCTAGAGTACAGAAAAAATTCATTTACTTGCAATTTGTGTGTCTTTCGAGGAGCCTGTTGGACATTATTGACGACAGTTCTGATAAATGAACCCGTCATAATAGGTCTCTCTAGAGTAAACTGACTTGTCACGCTTTGAAATCCAACAATGTCGAATGTGCCTGGCAGCGCAACCCGGAAAATTGGTAAGTAGCAAACTATCGCGTAATTTTTTCTATCATCTGTCGTTGTCCAAGCATAAAGAACGGGCTGGTAGTAATTGTTATGACTGAAAATGTGGAATTTACTCAGTGGGATTCTGTTTTAAATGGTATTTGAGATGGGCCGAGTAGACCCCGCCGGTTTCTTTAACTTTCCAATACATGCACTTGTCCAGCGGTCAAAATGGTCTCTTAGAACCGCAAATTGTACTTCTGAATTGCTTTATGCGAATTTTCCCACTTTTAAAACCGTCAAATACTTTTTAGACTAATGGAATTTCTGTTTTATCTATATGACCTCACTCCTTGCCCGCATAAAATATCTGGTTTTGCAGCAATTGTGTTATACACTTACACGTCGATAATCGAGCATTGTTGGTTTGCAATGAGGATAACTAAATGCATCCTTTTAAAACTCCCCTTCTGACGAGCGGACACAACTCCTAGATCACGCGCACTGGACGTGATGAAATTGCAGCAATTAACCACGCGAATGTCGACCATCAACCAACCATCACACCACGTGCAATAATCCCTGATGTGAGGGGGAGCCGTGAATATTCATAGGTATGCGGTGGCATGGCGACTGCATCCTTTAGGTACTGCAGTCCCTTATGCATGAAGCACCCGTATCGGCTATCGTCTCTGATGATGGGTTCGAGCAGGTATCCGAAACGTCAGGCTAATAAAGCGCTTGTGCTAGCGATCGTGTCTCCTTCCTCAAGAACCTGATCTGCATGCCTGCTGGGGAACTCTTTTTCAAATGGAGCCAAGGATTAATCTCAGACGACGCGATTGCCAGCTTAAGCGACATCAATCAACGCTCCTTCTGTTTTTCTCGCAGAGGGTCATTTGTCAGTAGAATTCTTTACCGACGTATGCTGTAGATTCCCCTACCGTTATTGCGTTCATGAGACATCTAGAAACTCTCCTGCTAAGGGCAGCCCCAATTCCCCTAACACCATCCAGTTGATTATCCAAATGACTAAAAACATGCTACTAATATAATTTCAATAGGTCGTTTTGTGTACATTAGCCTTGACCTAGATGGAAACATGGACCTCTTCTCTCCCGCCTGCGAGAACTTCGGCCTGTTCATCAACACGGAGAAGACGGTGGTCATGCATCAACCGCCACCGAACACAACCACTCCTCACAATGCGCTACAGATCAGTGTGAACGGAACCCAACTGCAAGTGGTGGACAACTTCCCGTACCTCCTCAGTGCCCTCTGCCGCAGCATGAAAATCGACGATGAAGTCGCCCGCCGGATTTCGAAGGCCAGTCAAGGCTTCGGCCGCCTTCAAACCACAGTCTGGAATCGCCACGGTCTCCAGCTCAGCACAAAGCTGAAGATGTACACGGCTGTCATTCTCCCCAGGCTGCTGTACGAAGCGGAGACTTGGACGGTGTACACGAAGCAGGCACGTCGACTCAACCACTTTCACCTCATTTGTCTTCGTCGCGTCCTGAGGCTGAACTGGCAGGATCGAATCCCCGACACGGATGTACTGGAACGGACGGGAATCCTCCGCATCTACACTATGCTGAGACAACTGCAGCTGCGTTCTAGCGGCCATCTCGTGCGGATAAAGGACGAGCGGCTACCCAAACAACTTTTATATGGGGATGTCGCCACGGGTTCTCGCCGCCAAGGAGGCCGAAGCCGCCGCTAAAGGGTACTCTGAAGTCCTCCCTGAAACATCTGCAAATTACTCCGACCAACTGGGAAGATCTCGCTCTCTCGCGACCGACCTGGAGAAGAACAGTGAAGACGGGTGCTGCGAGCTACGAAGCCAACCGCATCGCCGTCGCCAAAGTCAAACGCGAAGCACGCAAATAACAGCTGCGCCCACTTCGTAACGCCAACGCACAACCGCTTCCAACTTGTACTCGGTGTCAACGGGCATTCCGGGAACGAATCGGACTCGTTGGACACCTTCGGATCAACTGCGCCATTCGAACCGCATCAACCGTCGTACTTCCCTCCGCTTCTTCCTCGTCCCCTCCGCCGCCAACTAACTCTGACTGCCCATCTAAACCACCATTTCCATCCTCCACCTCCTCTTCCTCATCCTCCTTCGCTGCTCCATCGCCTGCCGCCAGGGCGTCTGTCACGCACATCAACACTGCACACAATCTCGACGCATCCTCAAACACCAACACCATTATCGTCGACACCAGAGGTGAGGACCAGAACTACACCTGTCCTCACTGCGACCGCACCTTAACATCACACATCGGCCTGACCGGTCACTTGCGAATCCATCGCACAGAGACTGATGAACTAGTGCCTGAAGCACCAACCTACATCCGCCACACCCCTCTCCACTTCCCGCACTGCACCCGCACATTCCCGTACCGCATGGGCCTATTCGGCCACATGCGCATCCACGAGAGCGGATTTGACCGTAATCTCGACACGCCCACCACATCTAACACGTCCCCTACGCCCATCCCCACCCTCGCTGCATCGTCTTGTGCGTCCGTCACCACCACCATCCCCATCTCCACAAATGACACCGACACCACCGACCTCTCATGCCCACACTGCCCCCGCAAATTCACCTCGCACATCGGCCTGGTCGGTCACTTGCGAATCCATCGTACGGAGACTGGCGAGCCAGTGTCTGATGCCCCAACGTGCACCCGCCGCACCTGCCTTCACTGTCCACGCTGCTCCTGCACATTCATGCAACGCATGGGTCTATTCGGCCACATGCGCATCCACGAAAGCCTGCGGTAGACTGTGGTAGTTCGCGTCTCCTCGACCGCAAAACCGGTCTGTTTGTTCGTGGACTAACTCCCTTTACTGCCCCCACCAACTTATCTGTCTTGGATACGGATTTTGCTAGTCCTTTTCGGCAACTGCTGCTTAGTCACCCCAACATAATTAACCCCCAGTTTCGCAGTGGTGAGGTTCAACATGATGTTGTGCACCATGTCCGCACCTCAGGTCCTCCCGTGTTTGCTCGACCGAGACAATTAGCACCGGAGCGTTTTCAGGCCGCGAAGGCGGAGTTTGAACACATGCTGCAACTGGGAATAATTCGACCGTCCGAGAGCTCTTGGGCGTCCCCACTGCACATGGAGCCCAAGGCGACCCTGTGGCGACTATCGAGCCCTCAACAGCGCTACCATTCCTGACCGGTACCCCGTGCCTCATCTTCAGAACTTTGTTGGAACCCTTTTCGGCAAAGCGGTCTTCTCGAACATTGGTCTGGTGCGTGCTTTTCATCAGATTCCAGTCGCCCTGATGACATCCCTAAAACCGCCGTCATCACACCCTTCGGCCTCTTTGAGTTCGTTCGCATGCCGTTTGGTCCTCGTAATGCCGCCCAAACGTTCCAGGGGTTCATCGACCATGTCTTACGTGGCCTATCCTTTGTGTACGTTTTCATTGATGGCCTCTTGGTGGCCAGCCGGAATGACGAAGAACACAAAGAACATCTTGCCTTGATGTTTGACCGTCTTGACAAGTTTGGCGTTGTCATCAACCCCTCCACGTGCGTGTTGGGTGTGCCTTCACTCGAGTTCCTCGGCCATCAGGTCGACTCCGAACGTTTGCGTCCTCTTCCCTCCAAGGTTGAAGCAGTTCGTAACTTTCCTCCTCCAACTTCCAAGCGTCAGTTACAGCGACTCCTCGACATGGTCAATTTTTACCGTCGGTTCTTACCGAACTGTGCTGACCTCATGCTGTCGCTCACCAACATGCTTTCTGGTCCCAAAGGTCCCCTCGAGCTAACTGGTGAAGCACTGACTGCTTTTGAGAAAATCAAGAATTTCCTTGCCGATGCCACCTTGCACACGCATCCCGCCCCCGAAGCCCAGCTGTCTCTGATGGTAGATGCTTCGACCGTAGCCGTAGGTGCAGTCCTTCAACAACACCTTGCTGGTTCGACTCAACCACTTGCCTTTTTCTCCAAAAAGCTCTTACCAGCTGAGACACGCTACAGTACCTTTGGCCGTGAACTACTTGCCATTTACCTGGCTGTGAAGCCTTTTCGGCATTTCCTTGAAGGTCGTGACTTCACTGTTTTCACTGACCCCAAACCGTTGACTTTTGCACTTCGTTCCCACTCCGACAAGTACAATCCGAGGGAAATCGCTCACCTGGACTACGTCTCCCAATTCACCACCGACATCCGCCACATTTATGGCACGAAGAATGAGGTGGCTGATATGCTGTCCAGACCCTCACTGTCTTCCCTCCAACTCACACCAGGGATTGATCTTTGTGCCATGGCGGCTGAGCGAAAGCGAGTCGGTTGTCCTGGCGACGAGTCTATTAGTGGTCTCCTACTCAAAGACGTTCCTCTGACCACCAGCTCTGGTACCATACTTTGTGACGTCTCAGCTCCCTTTCATCGCCCTTTCGTGCCCGCCTCGATGCGTCGAGCTGTATTTTAAGTTCTGCATGAACTCTCCCACCCTGGGATTCGAGCCTCCCAAAAGCTCCTCTGGGAAAGGTTTGTCTGGCCTGGCATGAACAAGGACGTCAAAGCTTGGGCTCGGTCGTGTCTGAGCTGCCAGCGCAACAAGGTGCAGCGTCACAACAAGTCCCCACCAGGCACTTTCCCCAGTCCCGACGCACGGTTTAGCCATGTGCACCTGGATGTCGTAGGTCCCTTGCCTCCATCCAATGGTTTCACTCACCTCCTTACCTGTGTCGATCGATATACTCGCTGGGCTGAAACTATTCCTTTGCCGAATGTTCAGGCTGAAACCATCGTAAAGGCCTTCGTCAGTCGCTGGGTCGCCATGTTCGGTGCCCCATCCACGGTTACGACTGATCGTGGTGCCCAGTTTGAGTCGACACTCTTCCAGACGCTGCTCAATTTCCTTGGCTGCACACGCATTCGGACGACAGCCTATCATCCAGCTGCCAACGATATGGTGGAACGTTTCCATCGTCAGCTAAAGACCGCCCTGCGTGCCGTAGAAGACCCAGGAAACTGGTCGGACAACCTTCCTCTTGCACTCCTCGGCATCCGCGCAGCTCTGAAGTCGGATCTGGGCTGTAGTGCAGCTGAATTGGTTTTCGGCACTACCCTATGACTGTCAGGCGAAATGATCACCCCAACCTCTCGTGGAGCCGACGAGACTCCTGACAATCTTGTGAACCGTTTGCGGCAATTTATGCGCTCGCTTTCCCGGTTCCACCTCGAGCTCCAATGACTGAGTCTTATGTCGAAAAGACTTGGACAAGTGTACTCATGTGTTCGTCCGGTGTGACCGTGTGCACCAGCCGCTGAAATCACCATACGAAGGCCAGTTCCGCGTGCTCGCGCGCAACACCAAGACCTTCTGGATCCTTCGCAGTGACAAGGAGGACGTGGTCAGTGTCGATCAGGTCAAGGCTGCTGTTGCAGAGGAGCCGTCGGACCCTTACAAAGGACAAAAATGTGCTGACCCCCTAACCCCTGTTCCTCCATCTTCCCTATCCCCTGATCATTCACCCTGCCCACTACCTCGCACTTCCCCTCCCTTGCCCTTTATTCCTCCGTCCCGTATACTTCCTTTGCCCCCATGTCCGCAACCCACAACTGCAACTACGCCTCGTATTTCGCTATTACAACCTAAAAGACTTCTATCCATCTGTTCCATCTGACTAAAAAAACCTCTTAATTGCCAGGCGGTATCGAATATCTGAGAATCACGCCTCATGGATGCACAGATGAGCTCTTTGGAAACTTTACGCCGTGCGAGTCAAACTGCAACCGCATTTCTGTGAATTCGGGAAAAAAATGCAGTTTTGTCCACCGAATTATACTGTGAAGAAACGATGTCCAAGAAGACGCATGAACGTGGAAGATGCCCAACGTTTAATCTAATCATTTCCTGGCACATTTTCGCCATATCAGTGGTTGCGATCGACTTGTGGCTCATCGTCAGGAAGAGATGCTAGAGGGTTCTGGGTCATAAATCCATCGTTCAGGACAGCTGATTAATAACTCTCTCTTATGAAGCAGATGAACAAAGTCAGACAACCATCCGCAAACCCAAATAAGCTCTCACTTTGACCTTCTGATAGTGATACGTCCTGCGACTGAGCGTGTTCTGAAGACGCGAGGTCCATTCCCGCTGTTGCAGGACACTAGAATGGCCGTTTTGGTAGGCATGGCATATCTAGTAGAGAAATGATGGCACGAACACTGTAGCCAGCCGAAACTGCAAAAGTGACTGTTTTTTCAGAAGACTGAGCAAATTCGAACTATGATGCCGCTAATCCTGGTAACAATCGGGAGATGACACCCAAAAAATCCGTTACCTAGAAATAATACCTCTAACAGTAGACTCAAACGCCTTCAGCCTATATCAGCGGTTGCTGGCATACTTTCGCGCACTACTTGGACTTTCCGCGACAACCTAACATGGGCTGGCCGAACGAACATCGCAGAAGGTAACATAGACGATGGTCGCTATTACACAACCTTCCCCATCGTTACACACATACACCTGAATATATGGCATGCATTCGCATTATGACAGTTTATTACAAAGCAAAATTAGTTTTAAATAGGATAGGTCTGCACAGCATGGGACAGGAACAGTTCCCAGGCATTTGTCAAAGACATGACATTGAGGCCAAACCAAAGACGATACTGTACTTCGTCTATGTGAGCCCACACGGCTCGACCACATACACGGCCTCCCTCGTGGAGTTTCATTTTTAGTCTATTCCAGTATGCCTCAATGGCATTGGTGTGCCGTCCGATGGTAGGGTCCTTGAAGTTCTTTGAGTGGTTAACAGAGAAATGTAGATAACCTTCTGAGGGAAGACGATTATACGCCTTCCACTCGTCCGTTACCACTATGCTGCCTTTGGGCGACCTATTTTGTAGTAACGGAACGGAGAGCGGGCCAACTTCAATCATTCATCAGTTCAAATAAGGCTCTCTGTCAGCTAATATCGTACATCTTCACCAGCCATCACCCACAAAACCCCTATTACCACCTATCCCGTAAGACAGGCTGCATTTGTTAGGTGGATTTTTTGGGTGTCATCTCCCGATAGTTACCCTAATTCCAGAGAGAGAGAAGGCGGATGAGGCCTGTCTTCGATCTCGATATTATCAAAATTCTCTCCGCATGACCAACTGCGAAAGTCTGGCTGTTGAACGTATACTCAGCAGGTATGTTGGCCATCATCTGACGAGTAACTAATGTTCCTCTCAAACAATATATTGGGTCAAGAATAAAGCACACTTCTCAATGTGCAAGGCCGCCCCTAAAAGCTTAATGTTAAAAAATTGCGGCAGAGGGGAATATATTTAAGGGTTTGCCTCAAAAGGCCGGTATACGTAACTGCTCCCACAAAAATTTATCTCAAAAGGCGCTAGAAGAGTGCATTTCTTAACGCCTCAAAACCTCCCATGGATGCAGAATGGACAGGCGCCCTTGCGCAACAAAATATACTTCTTAGCTCGGCCGAACTTCTAAACCCTTCCAATGTAATCTTACCCTCGTTTTTACAATTGGAAGGAAACCCAGTTCTGGGATTTTTAACCAATGATAGCATTATTTAGTCTTTTGTTTATGACATTTTAGCAGTACGCGTAAGGTGCATTGACACTTCTTCCTTAGAAACGGATCCTCCATCCAGGACTACTTCCGTTGCTTCCTACGGTGGATTCTTGGTTTGATTCATCTGAGACAGTGAGGTTTTTCATCTACTGAATCATTTTACATAACAATTCACGTACATCCTATTCAACTGTAATTTTTAACCCACATCTTTATCTGCTTTTGGTGGAAATTGATTTGTTATAACTTCATTCGTCTACGTACAGCAGCTTCGGCGGATACCTGTTCTGCGATCCTGGTTGTGGTCATTCTGGTTTATTGATGAGTGTTCTAATCCCCAGCGCGTCCCAAATGGCTTTATTTGCCTCATTTCATTCATGTGTGTCCCCTTATTATTCTTGTTGCTTACTTTTCACTTATTTGGTTTTCTGAAGGCGTATTAAATGTCAGCAAGTTACTTCCTAACCCGCTACTGTATCATCGTTACGGTAAAAAATTTGAAACGGAAATCTCACAGTTTGAAGACAGCCGGCCAAGTGATTATTTAATAATTAGCGATTGTTTATTTGTAGAAGTAGCCGGTGTGGTTGCGTCACACTAAAAATTGAGCATTTTACCTGGACTTGGGAAGTCAGTGGTTTACAACTGGGGAGAGAACTGCTGGGAATACAATGACATCGCGGCCTCTGCACCCACTTTGTCATCTTCTAGGCTGCCTGTCAGCCAGTCATTTCTGTCTCAACGCAGGGTTCTGCTGGCTTAAGCGGCAATCATAGGATGATTTGGCTGTTTAGGTCAAGGAGGGTTTAGTCAATTATTACTTACTATAAAACTCTGCCCTGAGACATCGCTAAACTCTGATCGAACGAGCCAAAGACTGCGGAAATTGAAGGTATGAGACAGCGCGATGATCATTATTCATCAGTGGACGGCCCTTTGTTCCCTATATCAACAACGACCTGTTTATTGAGTCAAAATGTTATTAGGTACACCATTGGCACATTTGTTTCAGTCAAAATAATAAGAATGTCCCTCGGTCTGCTATAAAACTCCAGAAAATATTCTGCCGCCTGCATCAGTTGCATAGGTCTCGATGGAAGAGACCTCACGGAAAGAGCCGTTACTGTGAATGAGGAAGTAAGTGAACATTCATCCGAGTACTCTACAACACCTATGAGTATCTTCTCATATCTTTGCGGATACGGCGTTCGCCGGTCTAGCCTGGTTAACTGGCTAATCCGTATTCGTGCGTCAGGTTTTCTAAGACTTCAGTCGAGGTAATCCTGGTTGACCATGCCAAACAAATCTGAAGGTTTCATTCTTATCTGTTAGTATTTCTCGGAGATTTATCTTTTTATTTAGACGGGCATATAATCAGTCCCCTGGATAGTGCGCAGTTTGCTTTGCTTCTGAAGTTGGTATGGTTTTCTAAAATAACCAGCTACTTTTTGACAGCGTCAGGAAGATAACAACCAATAGCCTACAAGTATACGGGATGAAGTTACGATTTTGGTATAGCATTAATGGTTAGAGTTAGCAATAGAGGTTGGGTTTGGGGTAAATGTGTCACTCTAGCCTCAACGTTACAAGTAGCGGTAATCACTGCCTCCTCACTCCTCAACGTCTTGCTCATTTTCATTTCAGCCCTTTCTTGTGCACCGCGGCGTAACAAACACGCGGGTATAGCTTAGTGCTCTAAGAACACAGGTAGCATGCAATGGCCAGGACTCGAGAGCTTGACTTCTAGGTGATTCCTTGATTTACTCATTAGCACACGTTCTTGGCGAGCCTTCGCTTGCAAGGAACTACTGCCAGCAAGTGCCGCGCACTGTGTGGGGGGCCAGTATTCTGATCGCCTGGCTTCGGTTAATGCAGTGCACACTAGTTTATTGAGGAATTGATGCAGATAAACGAATAGACGGAGATAATGTAAAAGTTTCCACACTGCCAATTGTCGGAATCATCTTTTGACCATTTTCATTGACACAATCCTAATGTCTCCATTCTCATGATCGGTGGTGTAGAGATTTATCTTATGGGTTGGGAACTATAAGCTAGTCTAATCCTAGATTCTTGCTTGCGCTCCTGATTGCAAAATTTCTAGGTTACGGCTCCAAACCGGAATTGATTTTTAGGACCGTTATCCTGTGGAATGAGTCCCTGATTCAGTGATAGGGTGTTGTCTCCATAATCAGCGGGGGCTTGATTGAAAACACGGATCTGCCCAGACGATAGTTGGAGTGCAGTTTGCTGCTGACGACGACAATCATACCAGGAATAACCATTCTGGTTTCCAAGGTGCTTAGAAGTATTGGATATCAAGGGAGCATATGTGTGTTATTGTTTGACAGTTCATTAACATTGCTGATTAGTAGTGTTTCCAACCAGAGGGTTACAATGATGTTTACTGAAAATGTTGACCTGCGGTTCGACCGTGGAACTTACTCTCGAGCAAAATAGGGACATCTGATACCATGGTCGTATACAAACGGCAGTTGGATCGCTTGACTTTTGGTAGCCAATGACTCTCA